TTTTGTGTTACATCTATTTTGGAACCGGTTCCAAGAACCGGTTCGAACGGTTCAGTTCGGTTCGGTTCTATTGTAACCGGTTCCATGGAACCAGAACCGAACTGAACCAAACCGCCCCATCCCTACTCATCGTCACATAGATCTAACCAAGGGCAAATATATTTTGATCTATGGTCAAAGTGATGTGCGGCAATGTTAGGCCTTGGATCTTGCGGATGGCTAATTCAAAAGCGTTCTATAAAAGGAATTAGTGTCTTGAGACATGTACTCTGTTAATTTCAAAGTTCGTGGTGGTTTTCTGAACATTGAACCTAACAATATGTTTGGTTGTTGGGGTGGTGACCTCGGCGTTATTGTTGTCTATACTCTTGGTAATGGCTCCTATTGTTCCATTGCAAATGTTGTGTTCGAACAACTTGTTATATAATTATATTATTAATGATTTTTCTTTTTTCAAAAAAAAAAAAAAGGATCTAGTTACGCAACTAGTAATAGTAAGGAAAAAAAAAAGAAAATCATCATATATATTATATTACATTATTACATTATTGCATTATACTGACATCCTTATTTCCTACTTACAATTCGGATGTGATTTAAGGAAAAATAAGTACAAAATAAGCATACATCTGTTGTTAGTACGTGAAATGTGAAATTCAAATTTACGTATGTGAAATTCAAATTAGCCAATCAGATTTCACCCACTCCATAATATTTCAATTTCACTTAATTCACACTGATGTTACATTTAAACAATACTTAATTTCTATGCAAATTTAAGTATGTTTTGAGAGCAATATTTTAAGTGTGCGAACTTTCTATAGGGCAGGTAGATGTGCAACGAGTGATTGCTTGGCATGGTGGTTCCATTTTATGCAAGTGGGTTTGTTTGTCTTTGGCCATCATCAAGGTGTAGAAGATTGAGGAAGCCTTTACACACTTGTTTCTTTTTTAAAAAGGAAATTTGAAGTTAAGGTTGTGGTTTTTGTTGGATGTTACATTTTTGGTTGGCCAGTATAGTTCTAATTTTGAAATTTCTACTTTTCTCAAGCATCAATGTGGTTAGTACCAATACAAGCAGAACCTATATAGCTATCTATTGAAGGTCATATTTTTTAATGTTCTCATAGTGTCCCTTCCTATTGGGGGAAACATCAAAGATTCCAAGTCAGGGTTCCAAATAAGATCAGGAGTTTGGCATTGTTTGACTCAACAAAACCCACAATCAGTATACTGTAGTTTGTGTCTGTTGTGTATTTTTGGAGGAAAGAATCATTTGGGACAACTAAATCTGGAGGATGGAAACCTCTTCTAGAAGTTGACTGCAAAAGTGGTTCAACAAGCAAGTTGAAATGATTAGATGTGGGCTTTTTATTTGATAATTTAGGTATAATTTTCATTATTATTTATATTATATGATATATTGATAAGTATATCACTTCAATTTTGTTATTGCTATAAAAAAATGAAACCATTGATTTGAAAAGGTAAAAAACAAACAATACTGCAGTTATGTATGTATGATAACAATGATTATTAAAATTATATTTATTTTTTTGTCAAAAATCATTATTTTTTATTTAGTGTGCATATTTGACATCCAGATTTCAAAATGAAAAAAAACCCCCAAAGTTATTATATAATATCATTTTCAAGACATTTAAACCATAGTAGCCAGATAAATAAAAATAAATAAATAAATAATTTAATACATAACAAATGACAAGATTTAACTTATTCAGGTAAGTCATCTGGTATAGCTAAATCAATTTGTTTAGAATCTATAAAATATTTATCACAAGAGTTAATTTTAAAATTAATAAAAAATGAAAATAATCAATGATTGAATATTAATAATTACCATTATTATTACCAATAATTGTTACTTTATTG